AGAACAAATAGTCACACAAAAAGGAAATCTACCACGTGCTGCACAGTTGCTTCAGGCCAGAACAGAAAACAATGAAATGGAAACTCTGGAACTGGTTATGCCCAATGACTTCATCTAACATTTAGATGGATATACATAATTCAAAAAACAAATGTGTATTACACCCTTTGTATTCATTCCATCTTATTTTTGAGAATTTTATGGAGATGCCCAGTTTAGTAGCTTAGTCTTTGCTGATTAAGAAGAAAATTAAGATGTGGATAGCCATCCATAGAGACATACAGAATTAGTCTGAACAGTGCTTAACAGATGCATTAATTTCTAATATGCAGCCCCAAAATCTAATAACACTGCAAATGAGTTAAATGAAAAGTCCTGATACAGCCCTAGTTGTGAGAGCAGGAAAGAGCAGAGGAATAAGTGCTCCCAAACCTCTTTTGTTAGGTGCCCAGAGGTGGGGAGGGGGAGTGTGCTCGGAGTGTATCACTGCCTGAATTTACCAGAAATGAGAAAAAAGCATGCTTGTAGACAACAGGAAAGAGACATAGCTGCTGAACTGTCCAGAGCCTTTCCATCTTAAATACAGCAAACAAAAGGCAGCTTTAGCCAACCCTGCAAGATTCCACCACAGTTCAAACACTGTAACGACAATTACTATGGAATTATCATTAAGGATGTGGGGAATTAATCCTATTTCTCCTTGACTTTGTACTCAAGCCACCAGAATATCCAGATGGCAGAAGCAGCTATTCTTTATATTGTTCCTTCTTCGGGTGTATTTAAGTCTGCCATTTCTCCTGTCACATTTCCTGGTACTCAGCTGTTCCACTTCACGTACCTTAAACTTCATTTCTGCAACTGTGTTATCTTTCAAGATATCACATTTCCTATAGAATTGAGGTCAGAAGTTTATTACGCGATCCAACACTGCTGTAGTTACTGGTATCATTATTTGCTGCATTATTATTTTTCTTCTTCTGCTATATAATACTTACATAGCAGAGCTTTAGTTACTAGTTGGGCACTAGTAGGTAAAATATTGCACAACCTCTCTGTTTAACCAAGTTTCTGACTGCCAGAAATTTTCTACAATGGTGAAATCCAGTTGTTTGCCTGATTTTTTAAAAAATTAAAATTTAAAAAATCAAGTTTAATTTCTACAACTAATCTTTCATCAAGTATATCACTGAAAACTTCTGGCTTTAGTAAAAAGTAGATTTGTGATGTGATAGGACAGCATGAAAATCCCAGAGGCCAGTGGAATTTCTTTGGTTTAAAATCCTCTGGTCAAATGCAACTCCATGGGCTTGAGCACTGTAACCTCTGAACTGTGCCTGAAGTTCACAGTTCACTGCTCAGAGAGTTCCTTGAAGTGTCTTACAGGAAGTTAGTACACAAGTTATGTTACAAAGCCAAATACCATCATTTAATTGCTTTGTCTTTTATGTCAGCATGTTTGTTCCCCAGGAACAAATACTGCAGTGTATGTGATCCATTCCCATTTCTGTTACCCTTGTTATGTTTCAATACAGAGCAAGAAAAGCATATTACTTAAGAACAGGGTTTTCAGTAGTGTCTAAATCCTATTGATTTTCCAGAAGAGAGCTCCACGGTGTATTATTCCTCTGCTACAGCTCTCAGCCAGTGCAAGGACGCCGGCTGCTACACCCGCAGTGTCCTCAGAGTGACGAGAATAAAACACTGACTGTTTACTACTAAATGCCATGCAAAGCCAAACAATGAATCACTGAAATGGTGTCTGACTGAAGAGACATACAAGAGGCATACAAAAGACAATCTCCTGAGCAGGTGAAAGAAAAGAAGATCCTGCAATGGTCACTGCAGTTACCTTCAAGACACAGAATACAGAGCTCGGCCAGTATTACCAATCAAGTGTGGCAAACTGATGAGCACCCAGCTTTAAATACCTACACAGCTGCAGTTCTGTTTGAAACTTTTTTTTTTTTTTTTTTTTCTATTACACAATTCATTTGTCTCCTTGTTTACTTATTTTCCCAGAAAGTCAGGGTAAAGAGTTCCATGGCCTTTTAGCATGTGTGATGCTAGGGCAGCTTTTTTTTGCAAAGCAACAGGAACATTTGCACAGGGATCTGCATTCATAAAGGGACCACCTGGCAGCACAAGATCATGCCCCTGCCACATGCCAAAACCATTGCTACACATTACATATTTAATTTCTCATGCTCTAAATAGATTTGCAAAATTAACTCCTGTCTTTTATACGGTAGTTGCTATCTAGAAAAATTAACATCCATTTTTAAAAATCTAACCTTTATGGACTCAAAAGCTTGTAAAAGTTCTCATTCTGAATACCAATGAGGAAATTAAAATAATATTGACATAAAAATCCTTTCAAATTTCCTCCTTTTATCACCTTCAAGTGCTGAAAGATAGGATCTGCTCCACATGCACAGGCAAGCTAGTGATCTCTGAGTTTACATGACATTATGGAAGCCAAGATTGCTTTCATGTGGTGAATTCTCAACACAGTGAGCAATGAACTCAGCATTTACTGAGTTATATACTGCCAACAACAGACAGGAAGAGAAGCAACTGAAAAATATATTTGCTCCTCCCAGTTTAGTGTGGAACGGCCTACTTGTTTAAACCAGATTCATTTTATTCACTTTGTGAGTATGAAAGAAGGAATGGTGTGGGAAACTAGCATGCTTATTTTCAGGTCCTGCTCTGGACACCAAAATACCCCAATTTCACTCTCAAAATTAAGAAACACTGTGTATATAAATATTAAGTTGTTCTTGCACTGCATAATAATGGTGTGAAAAAGGAGGTCACAGATAAATCACCTGAAATATAAGTAGATAACACATAACATGAGTGACTAGTACTGAAACCTACAGCCAAGATTCACAGGTTTTATTCTCAGCTTCTGCGATGAGTTAAATGCATCAACAGATAGTTTATTCTTCTTGGAAGATTTTGAAAAAGTCACAGGAAAACTGGTACAGAGATTATAGCTAATACTGATAAGATTTCCAAGCAATCTATAACCTCTTTTCTTCATTCTGCTTTTTCTATCTGTCAGACTATAGAAAGCATACAAGGGTATCCTCCCTCACTAACTAAATTATACAGATAAAACTCCTGGCTTTGGAAAGAAGTAGCCCATCAACTTTTTTTTTTTAATCCAAGTTTTCAGTTAACTTATTCCTATAATATTGACGTGAAAATTTAAAAAAGATACTCATCTTAACAATAAAATTTACTATTCATAGCATGTATCTGTAGTAAACTTCTTATAGGCATACACCTACGAAATTATGTTTGTAGCACCAAGCAGCAAAGCTTCTTTAGCTTGTAATAAAAGGCACCTGTTTGGTATCCAGCCTGTTCTAAATGTAAATCTAAATGTCTGTTACTAAATGTAAAAATAAATAGTTTCAGGCATACAATCAAAACAAACATGATACAAAAACATTACTACATAATGATTGCCTCTTTTGTCTGTTTCCTTAATGCAGCAAAAATTTTGTCACGGTGAATAATTTTTACCCTTCCATCCAACCTGAAAGGATATGTTAATTTTAGTTTCTTTAGCCTTAGGTTACTCAAAACTACTATCATATCACACAGTTTCATTCCAAAGCTTTAAAAACACTGCTGCCTGCACTACTATTCTGAACTCGCATGCGTACAAAATCTCATTAGAGATGCTTTTCTGTTAGAAAGTCAATTTAGCATTGTAATTGACTACAAGAATCTAGACTTTTGGGGGTTTACCCTCAGATAAGTGTTTAAATGTACCTTACTGTTTGCCAAGAGTAGAGGATGATGAATAAAATGCTGTGTCAAATAACCATGGTAAACACAGAAGAGATATCATGCAATACTGAAAAGAGTACACTATCTTTGCCTACTATGAATGGATAATCTCAACAATTCCATATGCATTAGAAAACTCTACTTCCTTACTGGTATAAACTATGTAGAAGCATACTCTAAAATTCACCTGAGATGAGGTGAGATATAAGGGAAGCCACCAAAAATACTACAGGTTATTCACTGTAGATAGAACAAGTAGAATAATCTCATGTGCATGGCACATATTAAGAGACATGAAATGTCTTAATTTCATGTATATACCATTAATTAAAGACTTGCTTATCAATAAATTATTATGGATCCAAAAATCTACTGCTGTTCATTCTGTTCACATGTACTGTGAAAATATCCATTTTCTTTGCCCAGTAATTAACTATGAAGAAAAATACAGTAGCCAGAGGAAATTCCAGGCAGGAAAAAGAATAAAATGAAATTTGTTAAAAATAACGCTTCTCCAAATAAAAACTTTATGCAAAACAAAAGGTGACAATATAATATTCACAATTGGTACTAATGCTTCTAGAACAGGATTGGCTGGTTGTGTAAGCAGGACTTTCTACTGGAAGTGATAAAGCACATTTAGACTAGTGTATGTTTCATGCTAGACTTCCATGTAATTTTGTTGAAGAGTAAAATAAAATTCTCCTACATATCTGCGTATGTTAGTATTCTTGTATTCTTATTCCAAAAATAATTGTAGAAGAAACTGTCAACATGAAAGTAGAAAGGAGAAGTTGGATAATCATAAAGCCTTCTGAAAAAAAGGGAGAATTCAGAAACTCTTTATTTAACTGCACCCTAAACCAAAGTCAAAGGTCTCAGCACAGGAGCTTTAGAGGAAATCTATTTGCTGCCAATGTAAAGCATGGTATCTCTGCATGTTGCATTCCTCTGGGAGACAACAAGCCATCTCTACAGTAAACGTCAAATGAAACAAACCTCAACCCCTTAAATTCCTTTGTATTTCATGAAGAGACATGCAACCATGAATTCAAGTTATACCAGCATAAATTAACTGCATTTCAGAATTTGACAGGTCGACAAGTTAAAAAATCAACAAAGTCAGATACCAACTGCACTACAAGAGATGTTAAGCATCAAGTTTAAAATGGATGTCTTTTCCTTTTCATATTTACCTTTAGGTCCTTTGAATAACTTGATCTCTACTACGGTCTCCAGAATAGGTCTCCTTCGACGAACGTACAGTCGTACTATGGAACCAGCCTCTTTTAGGGCCTCCACGGCTTTGCTGTGTGAGACTTCTGACACGTCGACCTCGTTCACTCGCAAGATGCAATCATTGACCCTACAAGAAAAATAAACAACCATAGATACAAAATGCTTCAGCTGTTATTTTGGACCAGAGTTTTGTCAGTAGTGCTGTAAAATGAAGAACACTTCATTGGGAAACCAGCCAGATGACTAACTTAATGTGATATGCTTCATCAGCAATGAGACAAGAAAGAGAACACTTAGTCCCTCCAAAAGGCATACCTGGTTCAAACTAAAATTTACCTAATCACCCACACCTACCATCTCCTTCATAAATTGGGGTTGGATCCACTACAGTGATAGAAATGAGTAAACAATTTGTCTTCACAGGCTTCATTAAAAGACTTTTTACTAAATAACATAATTGAGCTACAACATTCATGCTGCATGCTATTACTACTGCAGTTGTGCTTAAGGAAATTAATTTAATACAGAGAGATCAGTGATTGTTCAAATATCTCCTTAAATCTTTCATACTACTTCATCAGAGCCAAAGAATTCATAGAATCATAGAATTGTCAGGGTTGGAAGGGACCTGAAAGATCATCTAGTTCCACCCCCCCTGCCATAGGCAGGTACATCTCTCACTAGACCAGGTTGCTCAGAGCCTCATCCAGCCTGGCCTTAAAAACTTCCAGGGTAGGGCTTCCACCACCTCCCTGGGCAACCTGTTCCAGGGTCTTACCACCCTCATGGTGAAGAACTTCTTCCTAATGTCTAATCTGTATCTACCTACTTCTAGTTTTGCTCCATTCCCCTTAGTCCTATCGCTACCCAACATCCTAAAAAGTCCCTCACCAACTTTCCTGTAGGTCCCCTAATTCTTAACTTAATTCTAAGTTATCAAATTCTAATGCAGTCCTACAAAAAGCAGACAACTTAAAAGAGAACGGTTCATGTTAAATTAATTGAGTAAATTACATTTCTTATGTTTTCACCACTGACTGTAGGCCCCAAGATCTGCTATGTGGTAACGGCATTTATTTTTGATAGAATACCACTAAAATTCCCTCATATTCTTACCTCGAGAATTTACTACATTATCTGAACCGACATATGCACCCTCTAAATGTCCTGGCTAGATGGAATAGTATTCTACTAATCTGACTGATTTGTTCAAGTTGGAAAGGAAATCTACACCTTGGGAGCAGTAGAATCCACCTCCAAAGCAAGAGGCTAATCACTTATCTGCTGGGCCATCTTTTCTTTGCAAATGAGAGTGAGCTATACGAGCAAATTCCAAAGAATTAGATTAATTGAGACTATTGTCCTTGAAGTACTTTTATTATGAGATACCTCTATGTATTCTGGGTGCAGAAGAAAAAGGCACATGTAATTGAATGTGTTCTTCTGCATGTCTGAAGACACAATCAGTGAAGAAAGTATTGCTTGCTAAAAATATTCACATTTCTGCTATGTTTCTCTACAGAAAGATCAGCTATTGAACATTATTCCTTACAGTAAAAGAACACTTGCTGGGTATTGCTCTTAGCACGTGAATAAAGAATGAAGCTTTAGCAAAAGTTTATCTGAACCCTGAGAATTTAGGTTGGATTTTTGTAATGTTCTTGTGCTACTGTTTTCCTTAAAAAAAAAAAAGCCCACAAAATGAAAAAAAAAAAAAAAAAACAAAAAAAAACCAAAACCAAAACGTTTGAAAACAGACTTTCTGTGCTATCATCCTTTTGGAAGAACATTTACAGGGGAAAATGTGATAATAGGCTTTATCTGACAACTGGTCTAACTTGGAAAGGAGACAGAATTAATACTTCCCTTCTGATAAAAAGTACTGCATTGCAAAACTTCTCATTTTCGTTCAAAGGCTGGGTTTGCTGCTTTCCTTCAGTGTCAGCAGTGTTAATTTTCCAGATGTTTAATTGTGTGGTTTGGCTGTCAAATTAATAAATGCTCTAACATAGCTTGCTTTACTCTTTGAAATAAATTATGAATACATCCTGCTAGTGCTTCCCAATCAGAAAGATAGTAATCATGTCTAAGTTACTACTCTTTCTATTAGTATTACTCTATATCTGATTCTTGTCAAATTTATGACTCTTACCATCGTCTTATCTGAAATACAATTGGCTATACCATGCTTAATGAACAAACTATAGGATCCTAACTATTGGATGGTTATGAAGATGAAAAGGTGGGAAAAATTATAAAAACACTAAATGGAGGATTGGATTTAATTTGTTTTCATATACTTTGTGCCCTGCATTGATAAATATTGATATTACTAGATAATCCTACCTACCTAAAACCTCTCATAGAAGCTCTAGTGATGTCTCCTGTTAAGGGAAAAGCATGTCTTTTGGAGAAAGCCAATTAACATGGGAATAATTTGCCAAAATCAGTAAGCCACACACCTCTGTTTATTGAAAAAGCAAGGCTCTTTGGAAAAAGGATATTTACACTCCAACAGAAATCTCACCTTAGTGTCTGAAATTTGGTCTTCTAGAGTTATGTCTTTTAAAACAGTAAGTCTATCTTTAATAAAACATACACACATTAATATTGCTAGTGTAGGATGAATGTAAGAGTGAGAGAATACAAGGCTAACCCAGCAACAGAAGTGCTTTCATACGAAGTGTTTTGTTTGTATTCCGATGCAGACTTTTTCAGTGCAGAATTAGCAGGACAACAATTATCCTGTCCAGTCTGCTACGATGAACATTTAGTGCTTCAGTTAAGTTGTAAGTAAACAAGAGGAGTACAATCCTCAGGCACTTACAAGAAATATAGTAGGTGACAACTGGTAATGATCATTCTGTTCACTTGTTCTGTGCAGTATGGTGCCCTGATGAGAAACTCAAAGCAGCCTAGGATGACAGCAGAGCCCCACAAGCCCAAATGGTCCTGCCAAGACGAATTAGCCCAGTTGCAGCTCCATAAAGGAGCTAGTTGGAACCAGCTATGGGCTCAAGAACAAGGGAATGGTCTGTGCTCCATGGGACCATGTCACGACACTAAAAGCTATAGTAATCCTTGGGTCTTAGTTGTCATCCAGACACCTCCAGACTAATAGGCAGCCTGTTAATAGGACAGCCCTGCTTCTCACAAATACAGTTACCATGCTTTCCATTGCAGAATGGCCAACAGTAATAGATTATTTCAAAGCAAATAAAACTTTTTTTTAGCCACCTCCTCAGAAAAACTAATAGTGACACAAACTTTATTATCTACTCAAAGCTTAGAAATCAAGGCAAAAAAACTGTTATTAAGGGAGAATCAGTGCAAAACTGTGGAATGTACCTGGTATCAGGTAGACAAAAAAAAGTAAGAGAGAGAAGCACTAAATTTTCACATTGTTTCTTTGCTCCTGCTTCGTTTAAGCTTTTTAGCCAGTTTCCCTACAAAAGGGTTGATGGTCTCTTTCTTCTTGAAGTTACAAGAACACAGCAATTTAAGCAGGAACACAAGATTATCAATGACGTATTGAAAGGACTGATTATTATCCTTTCTTCAAGGCATTAAACAGTAACAATACAAACATGTTATCTGACTCTAGGATAGAAGTAGTCCAGACCATTAGTCAAGGAAACTGATTCTGCCTTACTTGTTTGGTGTTTGTTTGTTTGTTCATTTGTTCGTTTTTTTTAATTCTACATTTATCCTTCCTATCCCGTACTAAGTAAAATTTACAGCTTATAGGGGTAAAAAATGCAATTATTGATACTGACCCATATAATTTATTTCCAAGAGGAACAAATTATTATTTATTTTAATTTCTACTAAGAATTCAGAATTCAGGATCTCAAATTTACTACAGCAGTCATCAGATCTGTCTTTCCAATTACACAATATAGAGCTAAAATTAAATGCCAATAATATGTATGTACCACAGGACATGCTGTTTCCTTAGGTATAATGATCCAGTTTCTGTAGTAAATGTACGTATACCCTCAGGACCCTTTTTGACATTGTAAAGTAGTATAAAACTCCTGCTATGTCTAAATAAAGAGATAAAATTTGTCAGTAGAAGTAAATTTCTGGCTACTTCTGGAAACTAGAGAGGATCTAATGCTTATGAAAAATATCTGATGAAGGTACCAGCCAATCCTAACTCAAAATTTGACTTTTTTGTGCTTTGTAAGGTAACTCCAAATAACTTAGTGACTGAAAATAGTGCTTGATAAAAGTTATTAAGGGGAAGGGGGGGAGTAATTCATGAATGACACGGCAGAGTTTGAACTGAACTTAACAAAAATCTGAAAACTCAGGAATTATTTTGATATAAATATGTGCAAATGTCTGTACAAGAAAACGGTAACCTAACGGTGTTTAACATGTAGGCACTATTTGAAGTAGCAAATCTAACCTATGCTTCTAGCAAGAGCAGAATTGACTTTGGTTCCAAGGAAAATAAATAATGTTTAATTTCTGAGAGGAAAAAAAAAACCCTTCAGTTCTCCAAGTTCTTTGGCAAGTGGCATTAATCTACTACAATGAAATAAATTGAAGAAAAAAAACCAAAAACCTTTGCCCCCTAAGTGCTGGCCTGGTGCCACCTCAACTCTTCCTGTGTAACCTTGAACATGTCACTTAATTTCATTTTTTCATAATCTTCACAGAGAGGATTAAAACCCTACCTGTGTCCCACTTCCTTTGTCTCCTGTTTACAGTCTAAATAAACTTTCCAGAGAAGAGTCTACACCTCCTTGGCTCATCTCAAACAGGGACTAACCCTCAGTGCAGCCTCTAGGCATACTCAACATAAATAATAGACTAAAAAAGCAGCTCCCTGCCTTTTCCTGGCTGTGATCACCCTTGTAACCAGTCTTCAGAAGTGAAAGATGAAGGGCAAACCCTTCCACCGTGAACAAAGGTTGTGCTGTATGTGTGTGTGTGTGTGTGTGCAAAGACAGGAACTAAACTCTTGCACAGGATTTCTGTAAGCCAATACATCCAAATGGATGCTTTCTCCACCTGCACGGGCAATCAGTTTTGGTGTGTTGGCCATTGGGACCCTGAAGGCTGGAGCATGGCTGAGCTAACAGGCCTCACAGAAAAGCTCATTTAATCCTAGTGCTGTGCTTCTGCAGCATCACAATTTGTACCAGCAACTGGAACAATTTTCAGCCTAGAGACTGAAACAAAAAAAAATCTTACAAATGTTTTTGATGTAGGTATATGGATAGATCTCAATACAACATAATAGAAATTTGGTCTGTCCTTCAGCATGCAACCAGCCTTTAGCCCACAGCTGCTGGGATGAGGTTTTGGCAGGTGACCTGAAATTATGTTAGTTACCTCCACAGCAAACTGTTCAATCCTTTTAATTTTTTTTCAGTGTTTTGGGCACAGAAAAGAGCAATGTATCTTTCCAAGTGAAAGTCGATCTCTACTGTGTCCCCATCTCAATGACAGAATGCAAGAGAAGCCAAAGAGCAGCAGGAAAAGCCTGTGCGTGTGGATCCACCTCGCTCCCTCCAGACTGGTGAAGTGTCTCTCTCACTTTCCTGATTCCCGCATCCAGGACCCACTAGCACAACCTCTTAGTTCTCATCCTCCAGAAGGCTGCATAAGAAAGCAAAAAGGACAAAGGAAATTCCTCTTTTGTATACCAGCAATTCAGTGATGGTTTAGAAGGTAAAAATGCCTACTCTAATGCAGTTAAATCAATCCAGATCACATCCAAGACGGCTTAAGGTCACAGCAGGGTGACTTGCAAGTATGCTACCAGGGGACTTTGAGCACTGTTTCACTTGCAGAATGGAGATTGGAGCCCACATTGTCAGGGAATAATTCAGATTTCAAAAAATACTGAGTTTCAGTATGTGTTATTGCTTGAAATGACTGTGTTTCCATATCCTGTCAATGACATGACTCTGCTGAGACCTGAGACACAACCAGCACAGCTACCAAACTGTCATAAGACATTTACAATTATTGTCCTTCACTACTGCTTTAGTTACTTGTGTTTTTTTTTTTTTTTTTTTTTTAAAACAACAGCCGTTTTAATGAAATGTCAGTGTATTAAAGGGTCTGCAAAATAACAACTGAATTTAAAAAACAAGTGACTTATAACAATATCAGTAAAAATATTAGCAGAGCAGCTCCTTATCATACACACTCTCTTTATCCCTCTCCCTTTGTTTCATTTATGACTCAAATTTCTATTTCTGAAGTTGCAAGTCAGAAAAAAGACAGCATACTGCACTATATAATTAGGAATGGAAAAGTCCCTGAAGCTTTAGACTGTTAGAAGGAAATATATTTAGAAGCTTGAATATGTTCTATTCTCAGAGTTTCAGAGGACACATCAGCATTTGACTTTTTTTTTTTTTTCTTTTTTCTTTTTTCTTTTCTTAAAGGTCTTAAACTCAGCTGTAAGACTTCACTCCAGGCACAAACTTTTTTTTTGGCTAAAAAGCAGTTTATCTGTTGTTTAAAATATTTTGGATCATTTCTGCATTCTAGCCTAGTTCTGAGAACTTTCCGGGGCAAGTTAACCCTTTCTGCCACACTGAACAGATCCTTTTAGGCAGTGTGCCTTTATCACAAGATGTCTGTTTGAAAGTGCTTATGTACACTTCTTGGTTGAAAATACCCACCAAGCCAATATCCAGAATCCAACAGAGCCTGACCCCAAAAGACACCTCATACTGTATTAAATTGGCACAGTGAAATCCCATGCAGAGATATCCACGCCAGCTCAGGCACTGACAGAGTAGATCTAGCATGGAAATCCACCTGGATCGATACTTTCCATACATCTACAGCCAATTATCACTAGTAAAAGGCCATATTAATGCAGCTCTGCAATGCTGAGCTCATTTAGCACTAGCTTGAGTTCCTGCACAACCTGCCATGAAGTGATTGATTTCAAGAGGGGGTCTATTAATGGCTACCAACAGAAATAAAAATAGAGAAGATAAAAGGACAGTCACAATCCTGTAGTGCAAAAACATCTGCTATAGATTAAAGTCAGAAACCTTGGCTCTTGGCAGCAGGATTTCTGCGGAGACACACAACTAGGCAGCAAGGCAAGACAGCTGAAGCCACCCAGCCGAACCTTTCCTCTCTCAGAATCCAAACCTTCTGCCTAATGGAAGCGCTTCTGCCATAGTGCCTGAATGATCACACTGTAGGGAAGAGCAGAGCTGAAATTGGTGGAGTAGGGCATTCACTTCCCTTAAAGACAGAAGCCATCTGAAGCGATAATCCACACCAGGGGCCAATCCTAACTGCTGCTTCTTTCCAACAGTGGCCCTTACCAGATGGTAAAGAAAATGCATTAACATAATATTTACCCAGAATATATTTTCAGCTGTTGGTGACTATGAACTTGCCTGAGTCAGATACTTAGGTTTTGGGTTTTTTTTTCCATTTAATAACCTTGGATAGATTACTCTTCCACAAATTTGTTTAACTGCTTTCACAACCCATATAAACTTTTAAAATCCAGAGTGTTCTTTGTCAATTAATTCCATGACTTTACTACCAAATATATATCTCCTTATGGATATTTCAGCCCACTGCTTATTAGTTTCATTTCATGTCCCCAGATGCTTTCATCAGAAGAGATAGAAAACACTCTTCCCTGCTCAGGCTGTTTTAATCCAGTAGTTAGGAAAGCGGGCATAATCTCTTATATCTCATTACTAATTTTTCATCATAAGAAAACAGGCCCTGCTAGACAAACTTTTAAGGTCAAAGGCATATAGCTGTACTGCTCATAACACTAATGTAATTTCAGAGATGGAAACACCACCACCCATCTTTCTGTTTTTCTGAATGTCTCCTGGCTGTAACACCTACAGATTCATAATTGAACTCTGAAGAAAAACGTAGTTCAGGTTGAAATTGTTTTCATTATATTTTTTTCTTGGCAAAAATTACATTGTTTTATGCTGAATAACTTTTGCAGTCAGGCCAAAAATAAATTTCATTCTAATACACTTTGAAATACAAGAAAATGTTAGATAGTCAGGGAAACAAAAGTCAAAAATAAAATCTGCTGGTTTATTATCCAGTATCATCTCCTACAAAAATACTTTAATTACCTCTGCTTCCTTCACTGGAGCTGTTGTAATTTGTATAAGGTAATGCTCTTAAACTGCAGTCAAAATTTCCCATTAGTCAGGAAAGCATCCTCAATCACAACAGTAGAAAGACATTCTGCCTCTTGCTTTGCCTTCATAAAATCTTTAAATATATTACAGGAATTTTAACAATTACAGAAATTATGTAATATAGCAGCTGAGCAATGCTCAGCACATCCACAGAGATGAAACCCTGGTCCACAATCTCTACCTAACCCTCAAAAAAGCACACTCACTGTAAGGTTACTCTGGCTCAATTAATATTTACTTGTCTTTGAGGAAGTGAAAAAACTTTGGTAGGAAAGAATAAAATACATTGATTTCACAGTCACTCCAGTTTAATGGTCTGATTACTCCTCTGGAAGATGTGGGCTCATGTTCTTCAGAGAGAGAAGGGTGGTTAATGCAGGTTTCCTTGCAGAGGTGAGCTGAAAGCAGCAGTTTCATGAATGAAGGAAGCTCCATTTACTTTTCCCTTTGCCACTGAAAAGCAATTTGGACCTAATTTTGTATCAAAAAATGTTTGCTCAGCTTTGGCATAGACCTGAAATTTGTAGATAGCAAAACTCTGTGCAGTAATGCAGCCAGCGTGCCATTAAGAAATGCTCACAGGGCAAGAGAGACTTAAAAAGTAGCTTATGTAAATAATTACAAGTCAAATAAAGAAACTGTATAATTTAGATAAATTGCCACATGTATTGAAAACTTTTAAAAATTTACTACTGCCAAATGCACTAAGCATTTATATTTTAAATTACTGATTTCAAAAAAGCCCTTGGTAAGCAGTTAATCTGAGGTAATTTGTATTTGTAGAAGTGAATTTGTGACCAAAATTTCAAAACTAATACTAATGTCAAAGTCAATGACTTGACCTTATTATTATTATTATTATTCAAAGCTAAGTAAAAGCTGAAGTTTCATAAACTATATGAATGCTCATTGCATGGTATTGACTTGCTAGTATTTAAAATTTGTTCATGATGACCCCTTGCAACATGGTCAGTAACATCCAGGAGTTAAAAAGGGTGATAAAATTCCATATGAACTCCAAATACCATTCTCTGTATGCTCACTTGAGGAAGCCCACCCCCCAGTTAATTTTTTATTTTACACATCTACTCGAAGGTTGAGCCAAAAACACAGCTACAAAAAAGTGACATTCTCTTTGTGTCTGATAGAATTCAGAGAGGTTACACAAACAAGCCCAATGCAGAGTGAGGAGAGAAGCAAAACGTCTCTTGGTTTAATGCCTCCCAGAAGAGCCACATCTCCTTACACACTCTTTGAGAATGGGAAGTAGTTATTAGCTAGTGGTAGCTCATCTCATGGGGTGTAGCTGAATGGGGTTGAGGGAGGAGTAGCCGACACCCATTCAATTTCCACACAAGCATGAACCTTCAGAAGAGTCAAACATAAGTACATCTGCAACAGGAAGAGTTGTCCTTTTTTTTTTTTTTTTCTCCTTTCCTCTCTTCATCACAAACATCCCAAAAGCAGAATTATATCCTGGTGCTGCATAATGCTTTTGGAGGTTCTGCTCTTCTAAGTTATTTATAATGAAACAATTTTCTGTGACATCAAGCCTGCAGTTATTGCTCAGCTGGCATAACTCAAGGCAAATTATCTCCTTTGCTTGGTAAGCCACACCTAAAGTAATTTTGTACAGAGTTTATGATCTTTCCCTTCACACATTCTTTTAAAAGTTGACTCCTCTCCCCTCAGCACAAGTCACATCCCCTTCAAGCAGGCTTAGGGACTGCAGTACACAAACATACTCCAAAGGAAAAACTGCTGCGTTGGGGATGAGCCCTTTGCCAGACACACCGGTATAAAAAGACAAATCAAAACAACTTTCCACCCATAAAAGACCATTTTGCACTTATCAGACCGGAGATTCCCACCTTAGCTTACTGGAAATCAAATATGACTTGACTAAAAACAATAGATTTGAAATAGTTCAGAACAGACACAAGTCCTTCCAACCTAAATGATTCTGATTCTATGATTCTAAGTGTGAGGCAATTCAGGCCAGCAGTCGGCAAAGTCACCGGCCAAACGCCTGGCCAAGAATCAATCAGCTGGTAGGCCCGACGAGCCCACGTTTCTTTTTAACTGGTTGTGTTACTGGGAGCCCAGGACAGAGGGGAGGGCAGAGGAGGCAGGCAGTTAAGTGCAGACAGGACAGGGAGGAAGAGGAGGGGGAATGCAGGGAGTGGGCAGGAGACTGCCACTGGCAGGAGCTCCAAGCAGGCTTCCCTGAAATGGGCTCAAACTTGTGTCAAATTTTCTTTGTTAACCTTTTTCACAAGATCTATAGGAATTACTATATCCTTTTTCTCTTCCCCCCCTCCCAAAATTAAAGTTGCTTTTCCCACCCTGCATTTTTTCTCCCTCTGCATTTCTCATCCAGCTCAATCCTCAGCTTTGGTATCCTTTGCTCTTACCACATTTTTCCATTCCTCCGTCCGTTCTCTAACTCCCCAGTTATCCTCAGTCTCTCTGCTTCTCTTCTCCTGCCAATGCCATGTACGATGCTTTCCTTCTGAAACTACTCCCACTAGTAACCGAGCAGTGAAACTCCCAACGCATCCAGCCTCTGTCGGCAGCTCAGCTTGATCTGGGCGGCTCTGGCAGCCGGCGGAGGCAGCAACCTCTAATGGTGGCCAGCAGGAAAACTTGTGCTCACAGAGCAAGTATTCATGTCTGCCTTTCAAAGCCAAAGGCCAAAGTGGGACAGCAGAGAGGCGAAGAATTAGAAAAAGGAGGTGTCGGTAGCTGTGGGGTGTTGTGAGAGGAAAGTGTTGGGTTAAAGAAAAGGAGAAAGAAAAACACAACCCTGTGAATTCCGAGATGAATGAAAGCACCAGGAAGCTGCAAAGCTCCTCCCAGCTGCGGGGCTGCTCTGCAGGTAGTGGAAGACGCCCCAGGCCAGGCTCTGTAGGTGTGGTAGAGGGCAGGGACGGCTTCGCAGCCCTGACTTACCCTCCGAGCCCTCCAGTTTAGCTGGCTCCAGAGCCACACAGGGGCTTCGATGCCCAGAGCCTGAAGGAAGAGCAGCAGCCACGGCACAGCCTTGCCGAGTCCAGCCTGGGCAAGGACGAGGCGCTTCCCTGGGACTGAGATATGCTTTGCCTCCTAAATACACCGAACTACTTGGCTGTTCCTCACCCGTGGTTAAAATCCGCCCAATTGACACTAGGACTGTCTGAAGCATATTCAGGTTTGTGCAGGAAAACCAGTTAGAACAGATAACCCAGAAGGCAATTCCAGATTCAGTATTTTTACAAGCACTTTTCATCTAGGGCTCTCAAAGTGCTTTGCAAATATGAACTCGTTTAAGCTTCACAACAACCCCCATGAGGCAAAGATAATGATCACTATGCCCATTTTACAAATGGGGAAACTAGCACAAAAGAAGAAAAGTGTTGCCACAGATCAGGCATAGCAAGTTGAGAACAAAACTAAGCAGTCCTACCTCCCAGGCGCTTGCACTAACAAGTTCAAAACCCTCCCTTCCGCTCTGGTTTGATTGAGAATAGCTATTCCAAACAAAGGTGTAGCATTAAAAAGGAGGAGAAAACATGTAGTTCAAGTTCAGTAAAAAGCTTCAGCAGCTTCAGACCATGAGTACCATTAGCCTACACATTTAACACAGAGTTAGCTGCAACTTGGAGTAGAATACAAAGAAGTAAGTAGGAAAAAAAAAAGTTTGTTTTTTATGATGGTATGATTCAGAGTAACATGCAGAATGTCATGATGTGAGCAACACATCCAAACAACATCCTCACATATCTTACAGGTTTGATATTAAAACTCACATGCCAGGGGGAAGTACATTTAAAACCTCTGCTCTAACATCTGTGATAAAAATGGAGGTACTGCGAGGAAATACGGTTAGGCTGAGATTTGAGAGTCCAAAGTGTTTATTCAAACCACAGCTAAGAGTTTTGACAGCACATGAACAGATCATCTCACTATGTGTTAGTAATGGTTTTGACTGTCAGAAGGAAAAAGTTGACCAAGCTTTTTCTTAAAAATTTTAGAATCAGATATTTGTTGGTTATAAGAGACTTTATTTTTTTTTTTAATCATAGCTTAATTCATTTTTTTTTCATCCAAAATCTTATTTTGAGGTTCAGTGGAAATTGAAAGAAATAAAGATTTCGGCAGTACCCCAGAGGATGACACCTGTTGAGTACAGGAACAGATGTGAAATATTTTTTCCTTGACTAACACTAGACTCCTTGGAGAGCTGATAATTTCTAAGGTATGTAACCACCAATAGCTTCTTACTCCAGATAAAACTGAACTGTTTAAATCTGTAACTGCAGTAGCAATGCAAACATGTTGACAAAATAATCACTTGGATTTGGCCACATGGTGCTGTTGTGCTGCTGCAGCACTCTGAGGTGATTGTCATTTCAGACAGGATGGGTGCTAAAGGAACTCTTGGGAGAGAGCCCTTTTAAACACTTCAGTACTATTGCATGAAATAACTAATGCAATGGGCATTATATAACTGCAGTGTACCTGAAGTCTTAAAAACTTGCTACTTTATTTCAGTGTTATTCACAAACAGTGGTTTCAATTAGTAGAAAATGGTTCAGAAACTTACAAGGGGAAGAAAGTGATCCTTTGTGTCACAAAAGAAAACGTATTCAAAGATGTCCATCACTGCTGTCTTTAAAGAGCACCCTAAAATTCACCAGTTTCAAATGCCACAAGCCAGAGAGGTATCTTTTTCTTCCAATTAAATTCTATTCTTTTTACCCAAGAAATCAGTTGTTAAAACATATATTTACCCTTCCTTTCATTCACCACATAAGAGAATTTTTACACCCTACCAAATTATTTTCAGAATAGGAAATGCAGAAATATAATCAAATTCACAGATACAGTAGGACTCTGTAATACCAAATAAGGAATACAAACTTCACGCGGGAAAAAAAGAGAAAAAGAAGGATTCAGCTAAAGAAAACTATAGTGGTGAAGGCAACAGAGAAGAGAATTACATGGTAACTTATTCCGTTGATAAAAAGATGTATAAGTTGATAGTTTAAAACTTGAGACACGGTAAGACATGTTCAACTTTAAAATTAATGCATGAAAATAGGATTTTGATTTTGTGAACTGCCTTTTTTTTGTGTAGATCCCCTGTGGTAATTCTATCTTTTTTTTTTTTTTTTAATTCCACAGTAGCTCAAAAACTGATACGCACAGATTCACAGGCAAACAGAGTTAATAAGATCAAACTTCCAAACACAAACCAGGACAGAGTGAGCAGTCAATAATTCATGATCTAATTTATGACTGTCTGCAAAGCAAGCATGTTTTACCTAATGGGGTGAATGTCTCTTTATTAACTTACTACTAAATTATGTACTGAACTAATAGCATTGTCAGAGGCCTGTAAACAGGGGAGATATGAATCAGTGTTTTGTGGCAGCACTGTAATTATAATAATATCCTGTACAAGCTATATGCCATTGCAATGCACATAGACCTGGTACTGATAGGCTTAATACAAGATCAAAAGTTAACAAACAGGGATTTAGGCGGTGAATCACAAAGCAGACACACTTCTGTTTTGATATATAATAATGGTGAAATAAGGCTCGTTGCCCAAACTGGATTAGAGTCACATGACACACTTGTCAAGAATATGATCTCTCCTGGGAATATCTCTTCATATTAATCTGAAAAAGCCTCTATTATCACCTCCAATTCACTTCTCAGTAAGCAGTCTAGAGCTACAAATGGATACAAACAGGCAACAACTGTGTTGCTGCTGCTGCTGCTGGAGGGATTTAGGTTTCAGACTTTTCAACAGAGGCAAAACACTGTCAACACAGCCCATGAGGCAAAGGCTGAAGGGATTCCTTTATGTAGCCAGCTCTCAGGTAGGGACTCGCTTCTGGTTCCTCTCCTCCATTTCTTTCCTCCGAGTTTCTCAAGTAAAGTGAGCAAAACATTTACACCTGTATTTCTTAATTCCAGTTTTCAAGCTTTGAATGCATAGCATGAAATTGCAATATTTCCTTTCTGGTTAATCTTTAGTAAAACACACTTTTATTTTAATCTGATCAAAATGCAATCTTTACTTTAAAAATAATTTTTCTAATTTTTTAAACAGATTATGCATTATCCTTGGAGTTCTTCTCTTGCTATATATACTGAGCTATGTTTATAATCCTTTGACACATCACAGTGGGTTAGTTGACAACCAAAAGGAACACTGATTTGTTTAAAACCTTTGCTGGTAGGCATTTAACTGTAAGGCACAGAAACATAAGAGAAGGAATTGCTATTCTACGCCAAGCTTTCTCCCTGATTTACTGGATGACTGAGGGCAAGTTATTTTACTTCTTGTCTCCTCCTATTAATATGTGTATTATGTGCCCTTCCCCATACCAAATCACTGTCAGAACTGGAGGAAAAAATTGCAGTGGGGCTGTTATGGTGAGGGTAGAACAAAACAACATGCCTTAAACATGTTACAGTTTCACAATCCTAAATCTCCTGAAAATCAGTAATTAAACTAGTATCTGGAAAGACATATTTACAAAGGAAAAATATACACTGCAGAGCCTTGGTAGTTTCTAACATGGTATTCAGATAGGTGGGGTACGTGTGCTGTTTCTGATTAGTCTGCCAGAGGTACCTCGCAATCGATCTACTTTTCTTAAAGTGTTTAAGTTCTCCTTACAAATATCCACACTCCTAAGTAAAAAAAAAAAAAAAAAAATTGATAGGTTCACAAATGGAAAGAGACAAAACCACTTGCCTAGAATAAAGAATGAATGAAACAGCTACAGGTCGGAGCAGTTTACCAGGGCAGTGTGCCTCCAGGCACAACCACTTTCTTCCCTCTGACTCATCCCTCACATCAACCATCTTTCCTGCGAAGTACAGCTCAGGCTCAAAAAACAGAATAAACTTTGGTACAAAACTAACACCTTAAATTCAAGCCCAAGGCCATCCAAATCTATCTTATGGTCTTGTGAATAAACTCATTTATATTCAATCACCTATGCACCAACTGATTTTTGAATCACAGGTTAAGTAAGATTCCTATGATAAGAGACTGGTATAAAACAGGAGATTTGAGTCCTTGTTCTATCAAAGACTGTTTTATTTGTTTGCCTTCACAAAATGGAAAAGCGTTTTCTGATGGCAATAGATACGGAACTCATGCGACCGACTCATTCCTGTAGGAAGTTTTGAGAAAACTCCACCATAAGATCTGAATTAGACTGTAAGAAAATATAAACAGAAAGAATGAGTCTTGACTAAAGCCAGTTTTGGTTTACAATTGCTGAAAATAAATTACTGTTTTGAGAGTCCCTGCTCTTTTAAACTTGGTCATAACTGAAAGCTTTTCATTATTTCTTTACATTTGTGGGATTTTTTAATCAAGTTATACCACTACACTGTGTTTCTAGTTTCATAAGCTGATCACTCTTGTTTTCATAGACTATGATATACTTTTTAGATATGTGTTGCCTTTTAGAAGCCAGAATTTCACTTATGATCACCAAGTGTCAACAGAAAGAAGTGCTGAGATAATGTATTGAAGTTCTTTCTTATCTAGGTGATTGAGCCAACCCACTGCATTTTTTTCTTTGAGACAAACTTCAAGAAAAACAATAAAAAGTACTGAGCCAAAAATTACTGGAATTATCTTTCTTCCAGGAAGTAAAAGAAGTCTAAATTCAGAACTTCTTAATTAAAAGGTAGATGTTTGCTCATGGACGACTGACATTTGAGAGATAGAATCAGAAGATTTTATACATCAAAAGTTTTATCAGATCAAACTGTTGAGAGAATTTCTTCAACTAAGTGGGAATGGTTGCTACTTCTGGAAGTTTTGTATTCTCTGTCACTGATTTAAAACAGAGCTTCATGGTATGCAGCATTCAGAAAATTACTAATTTTCAGATAGTCCCAGGTTTCTGATATTCACATTTAGACACAGTAATAAATTCTAAAATTAATTTTTTTTTATTCCGTGAAATTATTTACTATATATGAAATAGCTTATATTATATGAACATCATAAAAGATTCCACAACTTCCTGTATTTTGCAAGATTAGGAGATAGTGTACTTATCTAAAATGTCTTCTAAAATCTGAATTGTCTAGTGTACTGTTTCTCATACTAGTTGTAGAAGTCTGTGCATTTCAGGGAGGGTGGGATGTTAACAGCATAGCTAT